TTTGGGGTATTTGTTATACAATAAGAGACCACAGAAACAATGGGTGACAAATGGTTAAAAAGTGGGCCAGGCCTATCACTCATCTGCTGCCATCTGTGATCATCGTGGGATTGTGAAAACTTCTTCTCCTTGAGAATTAATTTAAGTGAAGAAACACAGACAAGATCTTATCTCATCACATTTAAGATGCAGTATTTATAATATCTAGGGTACTGGGACTGTCTTGACTTTGGATTCTGGTAATTCTTCCCCCAGACCCCTACAGAGCTAGCAAAAGTATCTCCCTTGATTGGTGAAACTCTCTCCCCACTGTACCCCTGCTTTATTTAACACAATCCCAGAAACTTGCTAATATTTATGTTAGAGAGATCAACAAGATGATAGAAAGCTGGAGTAAATAAAATTTCAATATGAGTGTTGGGAGGATGAAGCAAATTTAGCAGAGGCCTTAACTGACACTTTATGGCATGAACTACATAGATGCACAGAGGCAGCAATGACCAGGCGGGCTTGGGGTAAACTGATTTTTAGCCCCAATTCTTGACCCTCCCTGCACTTATACCCTTGCTGTAAATGCACTGTGGTCAGACTGTACTTTTTTGCCTAACTTGGGGCTCATTCATGTGACCTGCTTTGGCTAGTGACACGTGGGGATGAGAGACAGGGTGTCAGCTCTAAGTCCAAGCTTAAGAGGCACCATACGTATCGCTTGCACACTTGCCCTTCTGTGAAAGGAGAGCATACCCCTACTGGTTTGCAGGTCCCCAGAGAAAGATGAGAGATACATGAAGAAGTGCCACCACAGCTGACCCACCAATTCATAATCAAGAAAGAAACAGTTACTGTGGAATGCGACTGAGACATTCAGGTTGTCTTGTAACCAAGTGCCCCCCTTTTTCTAAGAGAGAGAATTATTTTTTAAAATTATTTCCTCTTTTCTCTTTCCTTCTTTTCATCTGTTCCCATTTCCTACCAAGCTCTTCAGAAATGCAATCATAACCTTTACCTTCCCTTCACCAGACACTCCCTACACTGCAAGCTTATCTGTATGCTTACTTGGAAGCTCCAGAGCAGAAACTGTCTCCCACAAGGAGATTGTCTCAAGAGACAACAGTTAACTTACAACCTAAAGTATGTCCCTGATGGAATGCTCTCCCACCAGGAGGGCGTCCTGAGACAAAGGCCACTATACAACCTAGCTCGACCACAAACCACCGACCGCCAACCACCAGTAGATTAAGCACCAAAGCGAGTCACACAGACCCCCACCTGCTCACTCGCTCTCCAGTATGCCGTTCATGCGAAGGCCCCCTTTAAGAGTCCATACTTTCTGCCTCAAAAGCAAAGTGGCACCTAAAATGCAGGAGCCTGTACGAAGTCTTCCCCAAAGATAAGCCTTGGCATAAGGTCACTTTCTTTATGCCAGATCTTGCTCTTGTGAATTAGACTCTGCAAGTGGCGAGTGACTGAACCTGAGTTTCAGTTACAGTCTACACAGCAATAGTTGACTAACACAAAGCTCCTTTACCAGATGCTGACGTTGGCAAAATACCCATGGTGCTTTAGAACAATAGAGCCTGGCTATACAAGTTGTGAAGGGATGATTAAGTGGTCTCACTGCCAAGCAGAATGTAAGCACAGTTGAATATCACCAAGTCTTGCTCTTAAAATCTAAAGTTATCTTTAAAGATTGTCATTTGGTATTCAAAGTTATCCATAATTTAACCCTAACTTTGTTTTCTAGCCAATACTGTCCCATTTATAGTTTATGTTCCATGCAAATGAGATATTTATTATTCTTGAATACATCTTACATTACCTAGCTGTTATTTATCCAGTTTAGATCGAGACAGGTTTTGTTTCTTTCAGTCCTTTAAGGCCAGGTTTAGATATCATCTCCCTAAGAAATCTGCTCTGATTCTGCCGCGTAAGGCAGAGTGTCTATCCGCTGACTGTTATCGTGAGGTATGTCTTTACCTCTAAGGTATTTGGCCGATTCTGCCTTGTAACACTTCCTTATCTTCTTACAAAGTCCTAGATGGCAAGGTTTATGGATTATTTACCTCTGTAATCTCATTGGCATTTAGCAAAAGGCCTAACACATAGAATACAGACCAATCAATATATATATATTTTTTTGCATTAAAGAATGAGGGCTGGGTGCAGTGATTCACATCTGTAATCTCTGCCGTTTGGGAGGCCACAGTGGGCAGACTGCTTGAGTCCAGGAGTTTTAGACCAGCTTGGGCAATATGGCAAAGCCCCATCTCTACTAAAAATATAAACAATTAGCCAGGTGTGAGGGCACATGTCTGTGGTCCCAAAGCTAAACAGGGAGCTAAGGCGAGAGGATCACTTGAGCCCAGGAGGCCAAGGCTGCAGTGAACCTTGATTATACCACTGCACTCCAG